TTCAAGATCCATGGTGTGGTGGTTAAACCATTGCTCAGAGGTTTGGTCACAGAGTGGTAAGGACCTTGGATGTTCCAAGAAATGCAACCTTTAACTGTTTGATAGTCAATGGGGGGCTGGAATTGGGACCTACTATAGGGGACTACTTTAACCTCTCTTAAACAATTTTTGCATTGCATTATGTGCCTATTCATACTAGTGAGGAAAATTTACTTTGGGATGATGGGAAGTTTAGCTTCAAAAGAGCTTGGAAATCTTCTAAGACTAAATTTGATGGGCAGTTTAGCTTTAAAACAGCTTGGAAATCTTCTAGGACTGAATTTGAAGAGGTAGACTGGTATAAGTTATGCTGGGGTAAAGTTAGGCCTAGGTGGTCTGTCACCACTGTCTTTGTCATGCTTAACAGGATTCCCTCTTTGGTGAATTTTTAAAGGAGGAAGGTTAGCTTGGTTGTTAGATGTTCTCTCTGCTATAGGGATGTTAACTCCATTGATCATTTATTTGTTTCTTGTCATTTTATTTCAGCCTTCTGGATATGGTTTGGTGGGGTGCTCAAGTGGAATATGCAGTAGTTTGGTGAGGTGTCTTCTATATGGGATTTGTTCAGTTGGTTCAAAGAGTTATATCAAAACTCTGCCTACCTAAAGAGCTTATTTGTAGCAGCTATGTGGGGTATATGGCAGGAAAGAAATGTAAGGCTTCATGGGTCTCCTATGGATCCAGAGATTGTGACCAGACAATTATTATTAGAGGTTTTAGATGTCCACAATGCTACGTGATACCCCCGAATTTCCGAATGCGGTTTGGCCAGGCCCACGCTCGAACACCCGAGGATATAAAAAACAAATCGGCAATAAACGAACACAAAGTACAAAAGAATAAATAAGAATAAATAAAATGCTGAAATGAAAACTAAAATGATAATCCAATATTTAGAAACCTCAGAATAAATATAATCAATAGTAAACAATTGTCTATAACTAGATACTGAATCATAAAGGAAACTCCTATGTAGACAATCCGAAAGAGTGAAGTAGACTGATCCCTACTGAACACAAATAATCTCTACTCCTAACGAATACCTAAAAAATAATGGTGGGTCAGGCCCACAAACAAGTTTTACTTTACTACAGTCCAAGCAAAGATTCAATACACATATACATCCTAGTCAATCCATTAATATCTAGTAGTCCATATATATATAAATACACACTACAGGATGCTCACAAGGCTATAGGTCTTCCTCAACCTGAATAATAGGCAACATGCAAATCGCACATAAAGTGAGCATGACCACCTAGACTTACCAGGGCACATAGATGTCTACTATATCCAGTTATCCATCCTAGGCAATGTACGTACATTAACCATTATCCTAAGACTCAAGCTCATATCATGGCATATATCCATATATATATATATATATATATATATATATATATAATCCATCATATCTACAACAAAAAATAAAATCCAGTATGTCATTCAATTAATTTAATGGCCTGACACGAGAATAAGTAGGATTAAACTTTTTAATTAATCTGTTCCCTTATTAATCCGAATAGGTAGGACTTAACCTTTTTAGTTAATCCGTCCCTAGATTGCCACCATCCCATACTGGTGCATTACATCCATACAATCCAATTATTGATGAAAGAAATAAAACAGTACATCAATAAATTCAGAAATAAACATAATAATAATCAGATATAAACAGAATCATATTATGCAACCAACACATGATTAAAATCATATAATCTCCATTTAACTTGCTAGAATAGTTCAAAGCAATTAAATCCTCCATTATCAATATACAAATTTAATTAAAATTTCATACTGATTAATCTTTAGTACAATCAAATCAGAAACAATCTATGATTATATTATACTACTATTGCACGATCAAAACCATATATTATCCAATTAACTTTCTAAAATTATATTAAGCAATGAAATTATCCATTAACAATACGCCAATTTAATTAAAATTCCATATTGTTCAAGTTATTAGCATAAGAGCACAAATTATGCATTCTGGGATTTTAATCTACTCTTTTAAAATTATTTAAAAACGCCATGACCTTCCAAAACAACCCTAGAATTTCATATTCCAACCATAATAGCAAAAACCCACGCATAGGTGAGTTCCCATAAAAGGAGCAGCCTCTACTCCGAGTAGAGCCACCTCTACTCCTGCTACCCTCCGTCTTCTTCGTCTCCGGCGTCCTCTAATCACTCTGGTCATCTCTGTTAAGGGTCCTAACCCTCTGTTCTAAGTTCCAGATCATCTCCATTAATTATATAGAGTCTTTATGCATCTTTTACACAAATTAAAATAAGTTTTCATTCAAGAAATTTCAAGATTAAACAACTATGAATATAAACACATAAACTCTGACTTAATTTAATTTAAGCATGCATGCAACATCCATTTAATCTCTGATTAACCCTGGAATTAACCTAGGCATGTGTAGAATATGAAATCTAAGGGAAAGAGTTAGAAGAAGAACTTGCCTTAGGTTTCGGATTGAAACCTTAACATTTTCTTCCTCTGCTTTTTCGGCGACTCCTTGACTGCTGTCAAACCTCCTATTGCGCTGGTTCTTACCCACGAATAGCCCTAATCCTTCTTTCCTTGGTCCGACCTTCAATCTTTGGCTGAACCCTTTCTCCTCTCTCTCATGTTTTCTCTCTCTCTGTAACCCTCTCTGTTGATCCCTCTTTCTTTGTCTCTAAAGTCATGTAATAAAAACTAAAGCCTCCACAGACTATGCATATATATATATATATATATAAGCTACACAAATCAACCCTAATCCTAGTTATACCCTAAGTCTGCCTTAAGGAAAAAGAAAAATAAATAATACAACTAATATAGTAATAATAATACCACCACAATATCACGTATCTACGTATATGTAAATCCTTTTATAAATATAAATATAATTATATGTATATAAATATAATTATATATAACTAAATCCTCCTTATTATTATTAATAAAAGTATAATAATAATAATAACCTCCATATATATATATATATATATATATATACACACATCTAAATATATATATTAATATACTAATACACATGGGTCATAATCCTTACCCATTTAGGCTCTATCCAAGTAGTCCATGTGACTCATTTATTTGGTCTATTACTACTATTCAAATTCATCCTTTAAAATAAAATAAAATAAAATAAACAGATACACAATTAATCACATAGGACACATCACACAAATAATACACACTATACATCGATCAGTTAAATCATTTAGACATCTAAGTATATAACCACATAAGCACCCAATCACATTGATCGCGACACACCCAAATAAAACATACCATGTACATCGAACAATTAAATTCAAACAAACCATTTAAGCACACACAATTTCATTTTATTGAACACATAAGCAAATATAATTAATTTAAAATGTAATTAAAATAATTTAATAAATATCGAGACTATTCTTTTAAAATTAAAAGTATTACAGCTACTATCCATGATATTGTGTCCTAGCTTGTTTTCTATTGTTATTTCATCGTATTGGAAGTGGGTTTGCTCCATTGTTGCCCCGTCTTTTTCTTCCATAGTCTCTATGCACTTGTACCATCTTCTTTTTTTCTTAACATAAACCCCATTTATGGAAAGAAAAAAAAAAAAGAAAAAAATCATAGAACCTAGTCCAACAAACCAAATCCACTATGAGAAAGAAGGATTACAACTAGGTTAACCAATTTCAAATTCTAAAAACAAGTTATTCTTTACACCCTCCTCCAGTCTACAGGCACACAATTTGTTGACTTTGATCTTCATGATTTTGAATCACTAGTGATTGAGTCCAGTGGTATAGGTATATTTAGCCTAATGTTTTAAAAAAGAAAAAATTAGTAGGAGTATTAGTCCCTCCAATTTTAACCAATCCAAACAAGCCATAATTTTAAAACAAAGGCCCAAACCAAACAAACCCTAAACAATCACTAAGCCAAGAGAACTCCTCAATTCCTGATCTTGCATAAATCAGAGAGCTCTCTCTTTCTCTTCCTCTAAAGTCTAATCCTATTTCCTCTAAAATTTTCCAACTCTTTAATCTTTCGATCCCCAATTCTCCCTTATTTAATATTAGTCCCCCCATTAATAATTTCTGAATTCATCCTTAATTGAGTCTCAACCATTGTCTAGTTCAATCTCTTCCTGTTCAATTTAGTTCAATCTTTGATCGATGGATTGAATTACAATGTTGAAATTTTCAGTAGTAGTCCGTAGTGCAATATATCAAACACAAAATATCACACTTACCAATACTAACTATGATGAATGAAAACATAAAAATAAGATACAATTCTATAACTCATAAATTATGTTGTAAAAATTTTCATTTCAGTGCACTTTGGGCACTATGTGCGAGCCCAAAAAAATATTCGCTGACTATGGTAATTGATTCTATTATGTTACGTCCACATAAGTCTGATTCTGTTACTTTGTGGTCACGACCATAAGAGTGTAGAATGACTCGACATCTTGGTAGTTCTCAGTAAACATATTAATCATTTTACTATTATTTATATTTTTTGAAGATAAAAAAAAAAGGCATGAAAAATGGCTTTTGGTCAAAAAATTTCCAAGTAGAAACTAGGGTTTTTTGCTTCAGTTTTTCTAGTTCGAATGAACATAAAATAGAGATAATTTGAGAACAATTTTCTAAAAATTTTCTTTTGAAGTAACTATGCTTATATCATTTTAGAAGACCGAAATAACAATTTCTTTCTTTTTTTTATTAAAAAAAAAAAAAAAAAAGAAAAGAAAATGACAATTTCAATATTCATGAAAACTATTTTTAATACCATAATCCCAATGAGATTGACCACATTTTTTTATTATTTTTATTTTAAAAAGTTTTACATGTAGGTAACAATAATAATAATAAATAAATAAATAAGTAAATAATGTTGCTACAAAAATAATCGAAGCCCAGTTTCATGAAAATTTCATGACATCCTTAGTAAGAGAACATTACCTGAAAAATGCCATAGTGAAAGTGGAAGCAAAGATTCCGAAAAAAAACAAAGTGGAAGCAAAGAGTCTAATTCGGACAGAACACGCAAAATTTCATTTCTGAGTCGTCTGACTTACCTCAGACTTACGGACCATACACCTGACAAGGCAACAAAAATGAGTTGAAAGGACTTTATACATTCATATATATATTTATGTATGTATATATGTCCTGTTCTCTACATTCGAAACCCTAGCAGAAGAAAATCAAAGTGAAGACTCTCTCATGTCTGAGAGGTATATTAATCTATGTCCCTTCTTTATCAATTTTCAATTTCAAAGATTTTCTCATTATGTTTTCAGAACCGAATTGAACTACTTGTTCCAATTGAATCTTTTCCAGTTTGTGAATGACTCTCTATTCATATTTATGATTCGCTGTGGAATTTATATTTTTAACACCCAAGGTCTTTTTTTTCCTTCCATTTTTACCCTTCTAGTTCATTTTGTGTTGCAGTGGATCATTTTCTGATTCAATGAGGCTTGCATTCTGAAACAGCTGTTGGGTAATTTCTACAAGTTTCTCTGTAAGTGAGACTGATGTAACATTTTCGGTTTAGTGTAATGTGTTGCTTTCTGTATCATATGCAAATATTAGTTGCTTACCAGAACTCTTGAATTAGATAGTCCAGTGGCAATTTTATTATCTTCTTCTTACTAGAAAAGCAAAGAAAAGGTGGGAATAGTTTGAAGAGTAAAGGCGAGTTTGTTGGTTGGGGAAGTTAAAACATAATTTGCCTTTTCGGTATAAAGGGTATTATTGTAATGGCATCAGGGTCTGGTCGGAAATCTGTTCCTTCTTCGAGTTCCATTGATAAGTCCAGAGTTTTGGACGTTAAGCCTCTGCGTAGCTTAGAACCATTGTTCTCTTCCCCTACACAAGGCCCACCCTTTGTTTTTTCGTCACCCTTGGGCCCTTTCCCACCTGGGTTCTCTACATTTTACCCATTTAGCACAACATTAGGATCTCAAAGCTCATCTGACCAGAAGCAACAGAGTACCCCAGCTGGACATACCGATAAAGAAGGGGGTTATCCTTGTAGTCGGCCAATAATAACTTCGCCAGGTCCCAGACCAGCTCCAATTCGGTCATATAGAACGGCAGAGCCCCCCAAATTTTCTGGCTCTTCAAATGGAGATACAGAGTGGTCAAGGGAGACCTCAAGAGAGGTGGATATGACATTTACAATGCCAAATGATAATATTGGGGGATTAGCAATGAAAGAGGACGGTTTTATTGATAACCAGAATCAGAATCAGGCGGCTCCTTATCTGCGTGGCTCCAAAGTGTTGCAGAAGAAGGCAAAGAAAAGTCGTGACGTAGCCTTATCGTGTTCAGTTGATGGTGGCAAGGGTTCGAGGAATAATTTTACCATTGGGTTTAGCTCATTCCAACGAGACGACGGTAATAGGGAAATGGTTAACTATGTGCTTCTGAATTTTGATTCACTCCGAAGAAGGCTTAGCCAAATAGAAGATGCCAAAGAAGCACCCACCGGCATTATCAAGCGTGCTGATTTGAAATCTGCCAGCATCTTGATGAGTAAAGGGCTTCGCACAAACCTGAGGAAGAGAATTGGAATCGTTCCTGGTGTTGAGATTGGGGACATATTTTTCTTTCGGATGGAGATGTGTTTGGTAGGATTACATTCTCAGTCTATGGGTGGGATTGATTACATGATGGACAATAGTGAACCGGAAGAAGAGCCATTGGCTATTAGCATCGTTTCCTCTGGAGGATATGATGATGATGTGGAAGATAGGGATGTCCTGATCTACAGTGGACAAGGTGGAAATATTAACAAGAAAGATAAGCAAGTGGTTGATCAGAAGCTTGAAAGGGGTAATCTTGCTTTGGAGAGAAGCTTGCATCGGGCCAATGAGGTCAGAGTAATTCGGGGTATGAAAGATGCAGTGAATTCTTCTTCCAAAGTTTATGTCTATGATGGTCTTTATACAATTCAGGAGTCATGGATGGAGAAAGGGAAATCAGGTTTCAATATTTTCAAATATAAATTGGTAAGGATACCTGGGCAGCTTGATGCTTTTGCTCGTTGGAAATCGATCCAAAAATGGAAGGAAGGTCTATCATCGAGGGCTGGACTTATTCTTCTAGACCTCACTTCAGGAGCTGAAAGTATACCTGTTTCGCTTGTAAATGACATTGATGATGAGAAGGGGCCTTCTTACTTCACTTATTTTCCTACCCTCAAGTATTCAAAATCGGTCAGAATGTTGCAGCCTTCTTTTGGCTGTGATTGCCATAGTGCATGCCTTCCAGGTGATCTCAATTGCTCTTGCATTCGGAAAAATGGAGGTGATTTCCCGTATACTGCTAATTGTATTCTAGTAAACCGGAAGGCAATGGTACATGAGTGTGGTCCAACATGCCCGTGCTTTCCTGACTGCAAAAATCGAGTGTCCCAGACTGGTTTGAAAGTGCATTTGGAAGTTTTTAAAACTACTGACAGGGGTTGGGGCCTGCGGTCATTGGATCCTATCCGAGCTGGTACTTTTATATGTGAATATGCAGGTGAAGTTATAGAAAGTGTGAAGGTAAATCAAGATGGAGATGAGGGTGAAAAATATGAGTACGTTCTGGACACAACCCGCATTTATGACAATTCATTCAAATGGAACTATGAACCAGAGTTACTAGATGAAGAGACATCTGTTGATGCTAATGAGGATTACAAGATCCCATCACCCCTAATCATCAATGCGAAAAATGTTGGAAATGTAGCCCGATTTATAAATCATAGTTGCTCTCCTAATGTCTTTTGGCAGCCAGTTGTATATGAGCACAATAGTGAATCATTTGTGCATATTGCTATCTTTGCAATCAAACACATTCCTCCAATGATGGAGTTGACATATGATTATGGGATGACCTGGTCTGGAAAAAATGCGGGCGGGAGTTATAATGCTTCTCCTGGGAAAAAGAAATGCTTATGTGGAACGTCAAAGTGCAGGGGTTATTTTGCTTGACAACAGTTTAGGAACACATGCCAGCAGATAAGCATGGTAGTCTCATAAAAGGTTTTAAATCTTCCCCTTTTTAATATGTTCATGACTTATAATTTTGACATGTTTTAGGAGGTCATTCATATTTGATTTTTCTTAGTGGACATTCTTTTATTTCTCCATGAATTTCTCTTGGATTTTCTGCTATAGCTACATATGTGTGTTTTTTATGTGTATGTGTGCTGCCTATTTGTATTGTTGCCTATATACCCTTTTTTGAATTATCTAGAGCAACAGAAACAAACATTCACAACATAAATTTGGTGCTATCACGTCCATGTTGCCTTCATAGGTTGTGCCAGCATGGTCCGCGACCATAGTTTGCAGTAGTGACGTAGCGGAAGCGATTAGACGTTCACAAGGAACAAGGGTTACCTTGAATCCACAACATGGGGTAACTTTGAATCCACAAAGTTAGAATAAAAATTGCAAAGCAATCTGAAATTTTATTAATCAAAAGTTAAAAAATTCTATTCTTGCAGTACATGCATATTTATAATAAAAGAAAACCCTATTACTGTGAAGGAAACTAATTGCTTATGTAAACTAAAAATATAAAGAAACTAATGGTAGAAGGAAATAAAAAACCTAAAATTAAACTCCCTAAAAATTATAAATATATATATATAACCTAACAAAAATGTCCTGCATCATGTAGTCACTTGGGTTTTTTTATTTTTAATTTTTTAATTTTTTATTATTTTTTTTTTGTGGTTTTATTGATTGGTTAAATTTTTTTTTTCTTTTTTTTTGGGGGGGGGGGGGGGGGGGGGGGGGGGGGGGGTTACGGTCATGGTGAAAATAATATGAGACTCCTGGTATGGGTTTGCTTTGCGATTTGTTATCACAAAGGAAACAATGACAGCAATTGGTGATGCTTCTATGGTGGGATTGGCTCCCCATTGTTTATTTGTGTGAAATAGTGACATAGACTTAGGGGTGCAAATGAACCAAGCTGAGTTGAGGTTTGCCTTGTTCGGACTTGGCTTGTCAAGCTCACGGGTGTGTTTAGGCTCAGCTCATGTTCGAGTGAGCTTGGCCTGTGTGAGGTCGAGCTCAACTCAGCAATTTTCAGCCAAGCTTCGAGCAGAGCTCGTTTACCCAACAACCCCCCCCCCCCCCCCAAGCACACACACACACACAACACACGCACACATACCCATATATATATATATATGGAAAAGATATACTTCACATATATAGTCATAAATCATATACATGTGTGTGTATAGTACACACTACATATACTTATATCTACGAACCTAATGAATCGCTGACGTCACTAGTTTACTGCTCCTTAATGTGACCGTCTTTTAATTATCTGCCTCTAATGCACAAGCACTCTCTTAATGAGTGTTCTGGTTGTGTCGGATGCATGCCAGACACTCGGGAATACGTCTTGTAGTGTCGCTGAATTTATTGTTTTTGGTTGGCCACAACTTAGACATGGTAGGAAAAAGTGAGGAAACATTTAGGACATGTTTGGGATACAATGGGGTATTTTTTCCAATTATTCTTTCTAAAAAATGGTGTTCCAATTGTAAATTTTAACATGTTTTGGTCGACACGGAAGCTACAAAAATTTCAAAACGAAAATAAAAATACCACTCCCAGCTAGCCATAGCCCCAAATCATGTTCTCTGCTTTCCTAAAACATGATCACTAGCTCCACTGCCACCCCTAGCCGCAAGCTTCCTCTCCCCCAAATGTAATCTCCTTCACCGCCCACTGTGCAGTTCCCAAACACGACCAGTTGATCACTTTTACAAGCTCCTGTGGGGTTTTAGGCCGCAAGGGCTCAAACAATGAGAATGACATCTGGTTTTTCAATTTAGTGATTATCTTTATTGTTTGTAGATAAATTGAGTAAAAATTAATTATATATATATAAGTAAAAATAATTATTGTAGTATCCTATAGTGCCCTTTTTTTTTTTGAGATTTTTCCAATCGTTATGTCCGATAATATTTAGTCTTATCCCTACAGTATCCTATTTTTGAGATTTGTCATTTTTTCGTGTCTGTAGTGTCATTTCAGTATCCCGTGTCTATATTCCTTCTTTATAATTGTCGGCCCTCTTCATTGTAACTTCATCGTCCCATAGTCGTCGGCGCCATTGATTTGACTCCACCGCAGGGTCACCAGAAAGAATCGTAACACTCCACTGTGATGGCAATTGGGATGAGAGAGATTGACTTCTTACATGAAGGAGATAATACCCACCTCTATCTATATATGGTTCGTGGATTGTGACAGAGAAATTATAGTCGGGTAACTCTAGAATGAGAAAGAGATGATCATTTTTTTTTTGGCAATGGGTAATGGATTTAACTGTGTTGTTTCATTGGCTTGGGTAATATTACTGGTCTTATATAGTTTGGAATTAGGAGGTCAGATTAATGGGCTTAGAAATGAAGGAAAAGTTAAGGGTGTTAAAAGGGCTTAATTGAGGTGGGTGTCATAGGGCTATGGACCATGTTCACAAAAGTCTCTGAAAAAGGTAGGGGTGTTGAAAGGGCTTGGGTAATATTATTGGTCCTATGTGACCCTTGGTCAATTACAGTCTCTCCTAGGAGAAGGACAAAGAAAAGACATTGGCCTAACAGAAAGCGTTGATATTCATCCTCGTTGCCCACAAAGCGCGGCGTCAGTACCTTGTCAAAAAAGATACATCACGCCAAATTCAAGCAGTTGGATGATAAGGAGGGAAATGCAAGGGAACATGTTGCATGGTTTGTCAACACTTTTGCCAGCCATTGGCATAATGAGACTTTGCCACTCAGGGAATTCTCGAATTTTTTTACTAGGAAAGCATACACACGGTGCACCAATCTTTTCTTGTTGTCAGTACCGTTGTGGACTGATCTCCTGGCTAAATTTTACTCTTTAATATTTTAGGCCGAGGAAAAGGTGATTATGTCAACATTGAACAACGTAGTGACAGAAATTGTTAGAGGATATAATAGCTTACGTGAAGTGTTCAGGGAGATATGAACCAACAACAGAGCACTTAGTAAAGATATCTGTTGAAGGAATGTTGCGGGAGTACCATCATTAACTTTCAGGCCAGATAGTGCCTGAAAGCAAACCAAAACACACGTCAGATATCGCAGTTGGGACATATCCGCGTTACAAAAGACCAGAGTATCATACGCGAATTGTATATGGGAAATCTCCATCTGATGATCTGCATCTCAACCAACCCTGAAGCCCCTGATAAATCCCTGGTCCACTGCCCTTCTCAACAATCTGCTAAGGGCCTCCATAACAATGATAAACAAGAACGGATAGAGGGGACTGGACAGGGAACCATTCACCAGAACGGAAAAGCTGACGGACGAAATACAAGACTCAATCCACCTCCTCCATCTCTCCCCAAAACCCAACCTCTCAAACAGATACAACAAAACTTGATCATAAGCTTTCTCAATATCAAGCTTACAAAGAACTCTAGGGACACCACTAATCCTCCTAGAATCCACATACTCACTGGCAATGAGAGTGAATTCCAGAATCTGCCGGCCACCAATAAACGCGTTCTGGGACTGTGAAATGACTCCGTCCAAAACACCCCTCTATCTCAAAGCAAGGCTTTAGCTATTAGCTTATAAATACACCCCAATAAACTAATAGGTCTAAATCCTTAACATCGGATGCTCCATCCTTCTTAGGGATAAGGGCAATAAAAGATGCATGCAAATGGAACTCATAAAAAGTGCCCATTGGGAATTGGTATAAAAATAAGACCTTATTAGAAGTGAAAAATCATTATAATAGTTTTAAATTAATTTATTATGATTAAAAGCAGGGGTAGTTCTCACTAAAATTTGTAAGCTTACGTACCAAAAGTAAATAAATTAAAATTAATAAATATATGGTGTTTGGAGCAACTTTGGACATAACAAATTGGAGTCGACACATATATTGAAGTTTAGTTTTAGTTAAAATCCAACCTATCTTAATAATTATATATGAGTCGAATTTGATTAATTACAAATTTGAAAATCCCAATTTGACGTGAATCCAAAAGAGTGTAATATATATATTTTAATTTTTATCTAAAGTAATTGAGTATTGTTACTTGATGTAAATCTAAAATCATTTTTAGTAAAAAAATATATAAAAGTATTGCAATATGTCTAGCCTTACTGGTTTTATTTATTTATTTATTTATAAGTAAAAATGTATTAAGAAGCGTTCAAAAGGGGAACGCATCCCTTAAAAGCTACACAAGGCCAAATAGGACCTCTAACTCTTAAAGGGTCCAAAAAATCAACAATATCATCCATGGATTTACAATTTCTCCCTTTAACCCAACAAAAAAGAGTGCTAATAATGGAGACCTTCAGCACAGCAATAGGGGTCTCCTTTCCTTCAAAGGATCTCCTATTTCTTTCAAGCCATAAATGCCAAACGCACAAGGGCGTGACCCTCCAGAAATCACGAGCTTGGGACCCCACTATACAACCTCTCCAAGCCTCAACCAACCCTCTAGAAGACCTGCTGGATCCCGAACAAACCCAACAGTCTCGTGCCACAAGGCATGCAGAAGAAGATGGTCCATTGTTTCCTCATTTCTCAGCACATGCAACAACAATTAACGACAACCTGTCTTTTCCTCTTTAGATTGTCTTGGGTTAAAATCTTCCCTAACACAGATGTTTAAGCAAAGAAAACCACTTTAAGGGGAGTCCTTAGAACATCAAATAGCCTTCCACAGGAACAGAACCCCTGGGACCTCCGTAAGACTCCTACAGAAAGACTGAACCTCATAGTGGGCCTAGGAAGAAGGAACCAAACCATAGAATCAGGAACACCATCCACAATCTCCTGGTGATAAAGCAACTCCAAAAATCCAACAACATCCTCAATCTCCCAATCCTGAAAATTCCTTACAAAGCACACATCCTAGTACGTTTTAATTAAGGCAATAGCAGTCAAACACCAAAGCGCGTCTGTTCATAGTAATCCTGAAAAGTCTGGGGAAAGAGATGGCCAGAGAGCGATCACCACACCAACAATCCTCCCAAAACCAGATCCTACTGCCATCCCTTACTCAGAATCTAATGTGTTTAGAAAATTCATCCCAGCCTCTTTAGATGAATTTCCAAACCCCAACACCACCTAGAGATCTCACCGCAAGGAAACACCAACCACCTCTCTTCTCTCCAAATATGCTTACAATCACCCTTCTCCACAATCTGTGCCTCTCCACCCCAAACCTCCATAGCCATTTCCCCGAAAGAGCCTTATTGAAAGGCGCCAGTCTTCTAATACCCAACCCACCTGAACGGATTGGGTTACACACCTGTTCCCAATTAACCAAATGATACTTAAATTCCTCTCCCTTCCCTCCCCAAAGAAAGTTCCGGTGCAACCTCTCAATCATGTCTACCACAGAAGAAGGAATCTGAAAAAGGGAAAGGAAGTAAGTAGGGAGGCATGACAAAGTGCTCTACATCAAAGTGACCTACCACCCTTCGAAAGGTACTATTTCTTCCACCTGCCAATCTCCTCTCGAATCTCTCCACCACGGGATCCCAATTTCCCACTTTCCTCGACGGCACCCCAAGATAAGTAATGGGAAAAGAACAAATGTGACATCCCAAAATGTAGGCAAGAGTGGCAATCTTAGGAAACCAAATCAGAACACATCTCTAAAACCTCAACTGGGAGAAATCCACATCACAAAAAACTAAAGTGTCATCAACAAACATCATATGGGAAATCTCCAGCTGATTGGGATTGTCTCTCCCCACCTGAAAACCACGCAAAAGAGCCAAATCCGTTGCCCTTTTCATCATCCTGCTAAGGGCCTCCAAAACGATAAGAAAGAGAAAGAGGGAGAGAGGATCTCCCTGCCTTAACCCCCATGAGCTACGAAAGAAGCCCGTCGAAGCTCCATTCACAAGAATTGAGAAACAAACACTTGAAGTGCAAAACTCAAACCATTTCCTCCATCTCTCACTAAACATCCTCTCCAGCAAGTAAAGAAGGAAACTCCAACTGACATGATCATAAGCCTTCTCAATGTCCAACTTGCACAAATAACGAAACTACTAATATTGGAACTGTTCTAATTTCAACTTACAACTGGACTTGGAAATCAATTTTAAATTCAATGTGATGAAAATATATCAGTTTCATAATTGGATCATAGTACAAATAGTTGATGACCATACAAATAACGAAATTCACTTAAAGAATTAAAAATTAATTGTTAAATATTAATTAAATTGAATTTAGTATGGCGGGTTCGGCAACCTAATTACCTTGAAAAATAAGTCGTAACACACAATTACATTGAAATTGAATTGGATATTGTTTGACTTGCATGAAATGACACTAGAAATGTAGCTACTAGGTATGCATTTCCTGGTAATGGTATTTCATTTATAATGTCTCTATTCCTAGCATTGAAACAGGGCCTAATGCAAATGGATGGTTTCTTAAGGAGGAGCCTTTGGCGAGAGTATAAAATCCGTACGTGATAAAGCAATTGAAGAGTTGTGGGATTAACTAGTAATTATTATATTTTGGCTTCCTTTGATGAAATTGTAGTGGTTGAGGTGTTGTAGGAGAGGCATCATTGTCAACAGGCAACGGAGCCACTGGTGGATGAATCATTAGAGATTCCACAAGAAAATCATTGTCCAAAATACAACTTTATGTGGGGAAAAATGGTGTTCTTGAAGAAAGTAACTTCGGCATGCACAAAGTAGAGGAGAGAATGGGGATTCCTACACCTGTATCTGTTTTAGACTTGGCAACAATCCACTAAGAGACAATTGACAGCATGAATCAACGACATGTCAATACTCGGACACAATCAAGTAAAATAAACATAGCCAAGAATTTGAGTAGGAAGGCCAAACTGTGGAAGATAAGGAAACAAAACCAGGAAAAAAATATGAGGACAGGCAATTGTTAAGGTATCGTGCATCATCTAGATATCATTCCAAAGTTCCTGAGAAACAAACGAGTCAAAAAGTTTGTGCTACATCAATCAAGTGTATATTTTCATGATTAACTACACCATTTTGCTGAGTACATTAACAAGACATTTAAAAAAAAAAAATCTCGAGAATCGTAATATGATTGCAAGCATCTTTAACACATTTACATTGTTAAATTGCAAGATACAACTTAAACTGTCAAACTGATAAATTGGAAATAGAGGCATTTCAAAATATCAAAAACACCAAGGCATCCTTGAAATCCTTAAATGATTGTTTAAGACCTTCGACTTTTGGTATGGATAACTATGTGTAACTTATATAGTTGTCTTGAGCTTCATTCTTAGTTCTTACCATGTTATGTTGAAACTACGATTGCAAATTTGTCAAGTTCCAATGTAAACCTGCTGACTCCTGGAAATATGAGATGAATAAATATGTTGTTTCTGGTTAGATTATCTTTTTTTAATCGATAGCTTGTATTTGGTGGAAACCTGAAATTCTTTGCATGAAGGTTTAGAAGTTGATGGTCCTGGAGTTGACCATGGGGTTGTACTTGTTTGCGTTTCACATTTGTGCAGATTAAATTTTGTATGCAAAGTGCAGACACAGGTTCTTCAAAAAAAAATTAATTTATTTCTTAAGCTACTTACTACTGGTTTGTGTATGATTTGAGTTTACTAGTTTTGACGCCTGGAAGTTCATTGAGAATTTGCTATACTTGATATGATATTAAGTCCAGCCCTATATTCTCTATTGAATTAAGCTTTAGGCGATACAACTTATTGTAAAATGAAACTATGCAAATGATATAGTTTAGCTTAAAAATTTACCACAAATATTGAACCACTCTTTCTTTTGAGATCTGAAGATTCTTTTATTGTTTTCTAGATTGTTTCTCAAAGATCATTTCCAATGGGAAAAAAAAAAAAAAAACTTTCTGTTTCTTAATTTCATTGTGAAAATTCACGGGCGACTCTAATTTGAAATATCTGTGAATGTGCTTTTATGGACTTGCAAAGTTTTCCATAACTTTGGGTGGCTTGGGTAGCCTCAAATTCTAATTCTCGTCAAATTCTCTTAAAAACAGTCACTGTCCTTAAAATTGAGTTGGTCTGCAGAAATTCCCGGTGATTGTTGGTGAATTAAACCTGATGTGGAATAGGAGTAAAGCCAAACCCATGCTTTAGGTAGTTTGGATGCGATCTCAGAACACGATCACCTTTAATTGTAAGACGTTCTGTCATATTGATTTCGAGGCAAAAACACATTTGCTAGTCTTCCATCGTGAGACACTTAATAGCTGCATTTTCCCTTTAATTATGTTGTTATTTTCAAAAAAATTAACTTTTAATTCTTATATTTTTTTAGTAATTTAATTATTTATTTGTTTTGCAACAGCCAGAACAGGAAGGGGAGAAATAACTTTTGTGGGGCTACTGCAGAATCACAGGATTTTAAAAGGGTGTATCCATCGTGATTGTCACCGGACTTGGCCAATATTTTTTCACATCGACCCTGGTCACGACAATAGCGTCTTTGAAGCGTCTGGTTTGGTTATGTTTACGGTAGTTGTTCATAATTTAGCTCAAGTTCGAGTTAGCAAAAGCTGCTGTAGTAGTTCTATCGAATTTCATTTGGTCTGTAAAATATATATATGGTTGTAGGTTGAGAATTTCTTTGTTGTACCCCTTGTGGTACTGTTAACAAAGCTTCGACAGTTCTTATCTATCCGGTTATGTATTAAGAGACTTGAACAAAGAATTTCTTCCAGATGCTGTTTGTTAATAGTTCTATTACTAACTAAAAATGCATGATATTATTCTCACTATCCGTTGATGTCCTGTGCCTGTGTGTGTGTGTTTGTGTTTTTGTGTGTGTGTGTGTGTGTGAAATGTCCTGTTGAGATCACTTTGGTCTATGGTCCAGTTTGTTAACAAGGCTTTCTTTCACTCTTTTCAGGTTTCCGTCAGGGTATTGAGTCTTGTATTGGTAAAAATTGTACACAAAGCTTTGTTGTACTCGAACAAAAATGTTTCAATAAATATCAGAACGGAAGATATTGAAGATCCTGTTGGAAATATGCCTCAAAATTTAAAATAAATGCTAGATCCTGTTGGAAATATGCCTCAAAAAATTTAAAATAAATGCTAAGTTTGGCAACATTGAATCGGGGTTAGGATTTGGAACTGAACAAAATCTAGTAATTCCGGGCTTAGATTTGAAATTGAAGAAAATTAAAGTTCAAACCTGGATTCGGAGTTTCCAAGTGCAACACAAGTGTTGTATTTGGGTTTTGATTATGTAGATGAGTAATGATATAGAGACCAAATTTTATCGTTAATGGTGGGACTTACCATCTCGCTCACATAAATTTAATTAAATAACGTTGCATAAGTGTCTATGTGGGATTTGATTATATAGATGAGTAATGATATAGAGACCAAATTTTACCGTTAGTGGTCGAACTTACCACCTCACTCGCATAAATTTAATTAAATAACAACCGAATTCTTAATAAATAGGTCCATATAATTTTAGAAAGAAATATATATATATATACAGGGACCAGATGGTATATGAGTGGGAGCGACTTTTAATTAAAATAAATATTGTGATGAGTGATGACAATAGTGAAGTTTTTCTATAATTTCAGGGGGGCAAAATTTAATCTGTTGGGCTTCACCTACAATAAATGAGTTTATTTGTTGAGGGGTGTGTTTCAAATCGTTGGCTCTTTTAAATGATTAAATGACCTGAACATTGGGCCTATTTATGCATGTCCGTTTCATGCGTTTATAGCAGTTTGGGCCCAACTGTCGAAAACTGCTCTCTCTCTCACTTGCCAGCACATGCATAACTTTTTTTTTGCCCAAATGTAAAAAAATGATCTCGTGCTTAATTAATAAAAATGAGAAAAAAAAAAAAAATTTTATCATGTGCCTCATATGTCCAAGGTTCCATCGTTTGATGGAATGCATTACAAAACATGATCAGAAAAATTATTATTTTTCTTACAACAAATAGAAGTTGCTATTATTTATTTAATAAAAATATTCATTATCTTGCAACAAATTAGAAACTTTGAAAACGATAACACTGTTTCTCGAGGGTATATTTTGCATCACATTTTACACCAATTGCTCGACATTTATTGCAAGTACAAAAACTGCAAGAGAGATCTTAGAGGCCCTAAAAAACAAATACTCAATTGATGAGGTCAGATCACAAAAACTTGTTGGAAGCTCATTCAAACAGGTGGATAATTAGTCTGTTGTTGGGTAGTCCGAAATAATCTAGATGAAATAATTCTTTAACAAAATAATTTTCTTGATCGAAACAATTAGTTTAAACGAATTATTATTTATCCTCAGTTATCATAAAGATTTAAATCACTTTACCTCTTAGACAATTGAATAATTGCCTGCCAACAATAATTGACTTGATTTCTTGATGACTGTTCACAATCCTTAATCTCCAATGAACTACGATGCCTCTAAATCTTTACTTCTATCTTCATGTAGGAAATCAACGAAAATGACCGTTTTAGTGAAAACAAATTTTAATGTGTCAAAATTGATGAAAATGACTGTTTTGGTGAAAACAAGGTGAAAACAAGTTGAAAACAAGTTTTAATGTGTCAAAAGTGATGAAAATGAACGTTTTATTGAAAACGGGTTTTGATGTGCCAATGTCTGTTTTAATGAAAATGGGTTTTAATGTGTTGAAAGTGACAAAAATGACCATTTTTTAAAGAAAAAAAGATCATATTTGTAATGATGTCAATTTTGTAGGAGGAAATGGTTCAAAATAATCGAAATGTCGATTTTTGAAAGAAAAAAGGGTGTACTGTATATGCAAAATGGTTATGGTTCCAAAAATGAAAAAGCTATTGCCACATGGGAAAGAATCCTCTCATGTTCCTGTTCCGCCGGTTCGAATGTGTGGCCCAGATTGGGCCACGTTATTTTTAAAAATTTGGCCCACAAAAAGTTACCCAGTCATTACTATAGTTTATATGTTACTGTATATGTGAGTGTTCGTATATATTATACTGTGTATTTATACTTGCATATATTTAAAATTTGAGGAAATTTACTGAAATATCCTCGACATTATAAAATTTCCCAAATTATCCTTCATTTTCTAGGTCGGAAAGAGGTGAGGAGCGATTGAGGGGCGATTTGAGGAAGCTACAGCGCCTGTTCTGATTCATTTTCTAGGTCAGAAGGAGGTGAGGAGCGATTGAGGGGCGATTCGAGGAAGCTACAGCGCCTGTTCTGAATCTTCTTTATTCTTCTCTCCCAAAATATAGAAAGAAATAAATTGATCTTTCTTACATTGTCCCAACTTTCGTTAATTTTCTTCTTTCCAAAATTACAATTTGTTTGGAAAGGTTTGATTGAACGGCGGGGAAGAGGAAGGTGCAGTGTCGTGTGGTTGATTTAAGGCTGAGGAAGACGAAGCTAGGAGCGATTGAGGGGCAATTCGAGGAAGCTACAGTGACGAAGGTATAGTGCCTGTTCTGAATCTTCTTTATTCTTCTCTCCCAAAATATGGAAAGAAATAAATTGATCTTTCTTACATTGTCCCAGCTTTTGTTAATTTTCTTCTTTCCAAAATTACAATTTGTTTGGAAAGGTTTGATTGAACGGCGGGGAAGAGGAAGGTGCAGTGTCATGTGGTTGATTTAAAGCTGAGGAAGACGAAGCTACAGTGTATTGGTTTTGTAAGTGAATTTGTGAATCGAATGACATTGTGTTTCATTAGTTTTGTTTGGTTATTCTTGAAGTGTTATTAAATTGTGAAAAAATGAATCAGAAATTGTGAAAATTATATTAATAAATTGTGAAAAAGTTGTTATATTCTATATTATATGTTATGTTTTAAACTTCCAATTTAAGATGTTAGAATAAAATTTCCATTATATTCCTGTAGTGCAGTGTTTTAATCGTGATAAATACTACAATATATTTGGGATATTCTGTATAATAAGAAATGGAGCTTTTACACTTCCAATTTAATATGTTAGAATAAATTTTCCATTGTATGAAATGTAAGTTTGCATTGACAGTTATGATTGTTCATTATAAATAACTAAACATGGTTGTAATGTTTTTGAAAATAAACTGAAGACCTTCCCATGATTTCCCACAAAGTAATGTTCCCACATTTCATCATTGTCAGTTACACAAGTGGGAAAAGTAAGGAAACAAATAAACAATGAAGTAAAAAATAACCTGTTGAGTAAATTAGATATATATATTAATAAAAAAGTGAAGGAGAACGAATTCAGATTCTTTTCACCACAACCTTCTGTTGTTGTTGGTTGTAACAGTGATTTGGATTTGAAAGCGGGCATCTTCTCATGTCTATTGACATTGTTAGTGTATATGTTAGTGTATGTATATATTATACTGTGTATTTATACTTGCATATATTTAAAATTTGGCGGAATTTTCTTAAAATTTTGTTGACTGACAATTGGTAGAAAGGTTGTTTATGCATAATAGAGTGTGCTTTACTGCGTTGTAAAGATTGATTTAGAAATGGGTCGCAAGAAGTCGATAGCTCGCAAGAAAGATCCTTTACAAAAAAAATTACCTATACGGGAAAAAAAACCGGACAATGTCGTTGATTCGCCTCCTTCTCCTACCTTTCAATGTATGATACAAAGGATGTGGAATCAATCTTCTTCTGCGGGTTGTACACCTCCCCCCCTAAATCATCTAGTCCTACTCGTACTCGTAGTCGTACTCGCGATGAGGATTATAATGTTCGGGCGGACGAAGAGAATGATGATGCGCGGCCAAGCAGTAACGCATTAGTGAATAATATGCGTCGTGGAGGAGGAGTTTACCTATTGTTCAAGTAAGTTTACATTCATTTTAGTATTAATGTTAAGAATAACATTTGTATCAATTATGGTGCTCTGTTGAACAAATATAATTTTCAGTTGTCTGAAAGTTTAGTAAATATTTGATGCAACATGTTTATCTTTGAAATGATAAGTTGTGAAATAAGTTGTCAAATATATCTATTGAATTGAAATGCTAATAACTTCGTCACTGTAGCTTCCTCTTCTCCGACGTTCAATCAAACCTTTGGAAATAATTTTCAGTTGTCTGAAAGTTTAGTAAATATTTGATGTAACATGTTTATCTTTGAAATGATAAGTTGTGAAATAAGTTGTCAAATAAGTTATGAAATAAGTTGTCAAGCATATCTATTGAATTGAAACGCTAATGTTGATTTGTTGATATTGTATATGATATTGTGTGTATGAGGGCTACTTTCATGAAGGAGTATCAACAAGTCCATGGGCCAGTGAAGGGTGGGGATAAAAAAATATCCGAATTGAAATGCAATGAAGCATGGAATGGTATGACCATGGTGGAGAAGCGTCCATATTATGACGAAAAAAGATTACGTGATTCGGAGTTCAAAAGCCATGGAGGGTTACTAGTGAACAAAAAGAAGAAGGAGAAGGTAAGTTGGGGAGTTTGATTAAATTTTTAATATAATTTGTTATTATTTTCATAACATAATATGAAGTATAAAAGAATACAATTGATGGTTCCTTACTGCTAGTAAAATGAAATTTGTAATGTGACGTTAAATTCATTGGGAAGTTGCAGGTTCAATACAAGGTGAAAAGTAGGTGGAACAAATGCTCACTCTCCAAATTTATTAACACGGTATGTACACTTGGAGACGAAAAGAGGAAGGATGTGGCAGATATAGGTTTTGGCAATTTGCTGAACCTAAAATGTGACCATTTGTCTACCTCACTCTCTGATTATATAATTGGGCATTTGGACATCAAGAAAC